TTGCGTTTTGTTCGTTACTGCTATTAAGGGTGGCTGCGGTGGAGATTTCTGCATTCCCATGAAAACTGGTGCCAACAGCGTTTTCCTTCTATTCGATTTCTCGGCCATCATAACGTTGATTTTTGCTTTTATCGAGACCCATTCTTGGGATTGTGGCTGCGGCGGCGATATTTCCTTCTTCCTCCAAGCGTGGTGCCAGCAGCATCGATTTGACAACATAGTAGTACTAATTCCGATTTGGCCTTTGCGAGCGTTGTCCATGTTCGGGTTGCTGAGGTGGCGATTTCTGCATTCCCTGGATCCCCTGTTTTTGCCTTTCGCGAGTCTTGACTATTACGTATGGCTGTGGTGGTGAATTTCGTTTTTTCTATAAATGTGGTGCCAGCTGCATTTTTTGCCTTTGATTTGGCATCATAACTGTATGGACTCGGATTTTTCCGTTTGCGAAACTGATCCTTGCTAGGTTGCCAATGGCGGTGATATATGTCTTTTGTCTAATCCTGGTGATATTTGCTTTTCTTCATGTTGATTCCATATCGTTTGAATATGTACTCAGAATTGGCCATTTGTGAGGCTCGTCCATTTTTCGTTGGTGAAGTTGCGACTTCTGCATTTTGTCAACTTCTTTATTATTTCTTTGTGTGGAATAATTGATGTGAAGAACCCCGTATGCGAGCAATTTTTTTGCGATATGTCCCGTCGTTTTGTGGAGTTTTATTTTCATCCCTTCTTAGGTCGACCATATTCGATTTTTGCACTGTCTGTGTTAAGAGGATATGGTGGCCATAGTAATGGAGACCTTTGGATAATTACAATTTTTCTAAGTTACTGTTCCAGATTTTTATTTTCTCTAAAATATTTCCAANAAAAGGAGGGGAGACAAAACACACCCTTGGGGGAGTCCAACTCCCACGGTAAAAGGATTTGACTTATTTCCATTTACCCGGACACACATCTCAGAGCAGTAGTACAGAGACTTGACAGAAGCAAGAAGCTGCCCATCAATCCCATACTCCTGCAGTACTCCCTAAAGCTTCTGCCGAGAAAATCGGTCATAGGCTTTTTCGAGGTCAACGAAGCACGCGAAGACATCTTTAGCATATTCCCAGCATTTCTCAACGATCTGCCGGAGAGCGAAGATCTGGTCCGTCGTGCTTCGACCCGGGCGGAAACCACATTGTTGGTCCGACAGCTTTTCCTCAACTATCGCACGGCACCTTCTTTCCAAGCACTTAGCATAGGTCTTACCAGGAAGGCTGAGCGGAGAGATGCCCCGGTAGTTGTTGCAGTCTCTCTGATCCCCCTTTTTAAAGTTGGGAATAACCACCCCAGATTGCCATTGCTTCGGTGCTTGTCCAGAAACCCCAGGCCACCTGACACACTCGAGTCAGCCAGAGAACTCCATCTCGATTTAAGGCTTTTAACATCTCACGCCGGATTTCATAATCTCCTGCAGCTTTACCAGATTTCAGCGATTTAATTGCTGAACTAACTTCAGCTTCAGAGATACCTCTATGACTACTCTCCGCCCTCAGATGCACCTCGTGTGCTTCAGTAGGTGTTAGAGTGACTGGGTTCAATAGGTCTTTAAAGTATTCTCCCCATCTCTGGAGGATGTCTCCATCGTTGGTTAGAAGGTGGTAAATCGAGAGAGAGAGGTGGCGATTCTTGCATTCTCTCGAAACCAAATGCTAGTAGCATTTTCCTACTTCGATTCGACAACGTAGCTATATGAACTCAGATTTTGGAATTCGGTTTTTGCCTTTTGCGAGTGTCGTCTTTTACGAGTGGCTGAGGTGGCGAATCTTGTATTACCTCGTAACCAGGTGCCAGAATCTTTTTCTTCGTTCCATTCGACAAAGTAGCTGTATGAATTCGGTTTTTGCCTTTTGCGAGTGTCGTGTTTTAGGAGTGGCTGAGGTGGCGATTCTTGCATTCTCTCGAAAACAAGTGCTAGTAGCATTTTCCTCCTTCGATTCGACAACGTATATGTTTGAACTCGGATTTTGCCTTTTGCGAGGCTTCGCTATTGAGGGTAGCTGACGGGACGATTTTTGCATTACCTCGTAACCAGGTGCCACAAAACTTTTTCTTTTTACGATTCAACTACGTAGCTGCGTGAACTCAGTTTTTCCCTATCGCGAAGCTTGGCTATTAAGGGTGGCTGAGTTGGCGATTTTTTCATTCTCTCCGATCCTGTTGCCACAAGCTTTTTCTTCTTTCGATTCGACAACGTAGCCGTGCTAAATCGGATTTTCCCTTTTGCGAGGGTCATGCATTATTGGGTGGCTGAGGTGGCGATTCTTGCATTCTCTCGAAACCTGGTGCCTGCAGCATTTTCTTCCATCGATTCGACAACGTAGCAGTCCTAAATCATATTTGGCCTTTTGCGCGTGTCTTCTGTTACGAGTGGCTGAGGTGGCGATTTTTGCATTCTCTCGAAACCACGTGCCAACAGCGTCTTCCTTCTATTCGATTTCTTGGCGGATTTTGTTTTTATCGAGACTCATTCTTTGGATAGTGGCTGCTGCGGCGATATTTCCTTTGTTTCTGAACATGATGCCAGCAGCATTTTCTTCCTTCGAATCGATATCATGGCTGTTTGAACTCTGTTTTCGCCTTTTGGGAGTCTCGTTTATTATGAGTGGCTGAGGTGGTGATTTCTGCATTCTCTCGAAACGTGGTGCCAGCAGCATTTTCTTCATTCGTATCGATATTATGGCTGTTTGAACTCGGTTTTTGCGTTTTGTTCGTTACTGCTATTAAGGGTGGTTGCGGGGGAGATTTCTGCATTCGCACGAAATCAGGTGCCAACAGCGTCTTCCTTCCATTCGATATCTTTTTCATCATAACGTGGATTTTTCCTTTTTTCGAGACGCATTCTTGGGATTGTGGCTGCTGCAGCGATATTTCTTTCTTCCTCTAAACGTGGTGCCAGCAGCATCGATTTGACAACATAGTAGTACTAAATCGGATTTGGCCTTTGTGAGGGTCGTTCATGTTCGGGTTGATGAGGTGGCGATTTCTGCATTCCCTGTTTTTGCCTTTCGCGAGTCTTGACTATTACGTGTAGCTGTGGTGGCGATTTCCGCTTTTTCTATAAATGCGGTGCCAGCCGCATTTATTGCCTTTGATTTGGCATCATAACTGTATGAACCCGGATTTTTCCGTTTGCGAAACTCATCCTTGCTAGGTTGCCAATGGTGGTAATATATGTATTTTGTCTAAACTTGGTGATATTTGCTTTTCTTTATGTTGATTCGATATCGTTTTAGTATGTTCTCAGAATTGGCCATTTGTGAGGCTCGTCCATTTTTCGTTGGTGAAGTTGCGACTTTTGCATTTTGTCAACTTCTTTATTATTTCTTTGTGTGGAATAATTGATGTGAAGAATCCCGTATGCGAGCAATTTTTTTGCGATATGTCCCGTCGTTTTGTGGAGTTTTATTTTCATCCCTTCTCAGGTCTACCATATTCGATTTTTGCACTGTCTGTGTTAAGAGGATATGGTGGCCATAGTAATGGAGACCTTTGGATAATTACAATTTTTCTAAGTTACTGTTCCAGATTTTTATTTTCTCTAAAATATTTCCAATGACCAGAATTACCTGAGATTTCCCCATATCGTTACGTTTTTTGAGGATATTTCCAGTCGGTTCAGTGCATTGATTCTTGAGATCCGGGTGATTCGACATTGTGATTTCTTTAGGTGATTCGATATTGTCGCAATATGAACTCGGAATTGGCCATTTGCGAGGCTCGCCCATTAAAGGTGGCTGACGTGGAGATTTCCGCATTCTATCGATACGTGCTGTCAGGTGCCTTTTCATACGTTGATTCGATCTCGTAGCAATGTGAACTCGGATTTCCCGGTTTGCTCCTGTCGTCCATGTTTTTGTGGATAAGGTGGCGATTCCTGCATTTTCTCTAAACGTGGTTACAGATGCATTTTCAGTTCTGTTTACACTGCTCGTCCAGTAAGGGTTGCTGAGGTTAGGATTTTTGCATTCTTTCCAAACAAAGTGACAGCTGCATATTCTACCTTCGATTCGACGTCATTGCTGTTCGAACTCGTATTTGTCCAATTTCGAGAATCATCCATGATGTGACGGTGTCTAGATGCAGTCAGATTATGCTCGAACTCGGAACTTGGCCGTTTGCGATTCTCGTGAATGATAGGATGGTTGAATGTGGCAATTCCTGCTTTTTCTTCCTTCGATTCGACGTCATTGTTCTATGTATGTGCTTGCATTTTCCGAGACTCGTCCAATTATTCGATTTGGCGTTATCTGTGTTTAGGAGGAGCATGGAGACAGCTGCATTTTCTTTCTTCGACTCGACATCATAGCCACATGAACTCCCTTTCAGCCGTTTACGAGATGCATCCACGACAGGATGGCCGAAGTGGCGATTTATGCTTTGTGTCGAAACATGGTAACAGCTGCTTTTACGTACGTTGATTCGAAGTCGTAGCTACATGAACTTCGATTTGGCCTTTTGTGAGACTGACATGAAAAAGTGTCAAAGGGGGCTATTTCTGCCTTTCATCAAAATTTTGCCTCTACTTCAGCAAGTCATTATATTATAGTACTTATCAAGTTGACATTTTCAGAAATAATACAATGAAACTATATATTCAATACATTGTGAGACTATGCATGGTAATTCAACATATATTTTATGGCAACTGCTGAGTCACTATTCTATCCATTCTTGAGAATTTTCAAAGCTTGTGTAAAATCTAAATCAAATCTCTCCTAAATCATTTACATGTTACAAAATGGGTAGGGATGCTAACTCTTTTCTTGGACATTTATAATCATAATTTCATAAAGTCATGTCACAAAGACACAGTTAAAATCAAAATGGGGAATACAAAATGCTACAGACACCATTCACTTTCAGGTGGAACTTCTCACAATTTCACAGCTCTCAACCACAGAGCCAATTAAATAAGCTGCATGAAAGTCAGAGACACAACAAATGTACATTTATTTCAACTGACCATCATAATAGTGAGATATATCTGAGGCTGAATAATGGATGAGAAGCGATCACAAGGCGAATCAAGTTCGATAAACGATCCCACCGTACGAATGCTCGAGCCTCTCCTGCGGCTCGAGGAAGGCCAGCCAGTCCGATGCGTGCGTCGGGAGCAGGCCCATCGATTGGCACTTGTACAGGCCCAGCCCCACACAAGCGAGGTTTCCCAGGATGTAGACAAGTTTCTGGAGGAGGGACTGGCTGCCCTCAATCATGCGGAATGTGGCCTGCGTGGTCATGAGGGCTTTCACGGGGCGGATGAGCATCATGCCCACCATCATTATGGGGAAGATGGAGATGGAGTTCCCGGCCATGTAGAGGATGAACGCGTTCATCGGTAGCTGCTTCAGCGGTCCCAGGGCCAGATCCCAAGAGCGCTTCACGATCAGGTGATGGTCTCCTTGATGCTGAGCTTCCACTGGGACTGTCAAATAAAGAAAATTTTGCCATTTGTAAATGGAAGCAGAGCAGATCAATATTCTTTCATTCACACACCTTTCAAATGAAAGCAAACTTTAAAAATTCTCTCTAGACCAATGCAGACATTTCTGGTTACAGCAATACTGCATTTCAGGCTATTTACTACTTCCATGTCTTTTTCACTTGATATCAAATGACAGCCATTACTCCTCACATGCAGAGCTTCAAAGGAGAAGAAACTACAAGATATATTTTCAAGACGAAGTTATTGCCAAAGGTCCATTCAGAAACCTGTAATCTTTTACATGAACTTGGATATTCTCTTAAGAGAGCACAAAAAGCTAGGTAATGGGGCCTGCCCAATTTTTTTAGAGGTTTTCAGCTGATACCTCATATTGGCACTTTATGAATTATCTCAATAGCGGTAAGGCAAAACATCCAAAAGCTTAATGTTTTCCACTACGCCTTGGGATTAAAAATTATTTTGCGACCTATTTTAACCAACAACGAAAATTATTGATGACTTCACTTATTGGCTTCACGATAGAGGAATATTCCAGAAATTCGAACCTTGGATTGGGGTAGTGCTGAAACCCGGAGGAGACGCGAGTTCTGGTGGCTTTCTGCTCGAAAAGTCCATGGTCCACTTGAACTTTTTTGCCACGCGGCGATCAGCTGTGTTGACCGACATTTCACCTCGGTAGAGATACACTAGGCTTGCTCCGAGTGCAACCGACGGGATGAATGACCTGGTCAAGGGATGAAATTCAACGTTATAAACGAAACATATTCAGACTATGCTAACCCCATTAGCCAGTCCTTATTGAATGGGCCCCACGCGAGCATTTTCATCGAAAAAGCGGAACCAGAGGCGCGCCGCCATGTTAGTGCAGTAGAGGTGTGCACGGAGGAAATACAGGGGTTGGTGACTCGGCCCGCGGAGACACCATTGCCCTAACATTGCAACATCGGATGTCGTAGTTCTGCGGATCAGCCCCGTTGTTGTACAACTCTAATTGCATGTTTCGATGGACTCCTCCATGCAAACCGCGTGGGCGTCGTCGTCTTGCATTGTGAGGTGCATTTGCACTTGCACAATTGCGTCTGTTTCCGCCCCTCACACCTGTCGCTTTGGAGTTGGTATTTACATGAGATTGTAGTCTTAAAGCAAGAAATTGTGATTTCTTTGGGGAAGGTAACGTGCTGTGTTGTTGAGTGAAGCTTGGTTCATATCTTTTTATTATTATTATACCCCTAGGGCTAGATTTAAGATGGGGACTGGTCCGTTTAGGTGTTATATAAGCCTTTCCACTTCGAGGTTATGTCTTGCGTGGAGAACCCGAGGTATAGCATCTGCTAAAATTGCACTTGGCTGATGAAGTTCTTGGGTCTAAATTGCAGGTTTTGGTGCTGCCATGAATTGATCTGAGTGTAGGTCCACCCGACCCTGAGCCTAAAACAGGCCAGATCCAAGGAGAAGGTTATCAAGAATTACCAACATGAGTGTGTGAATGCAATGAAAAAGAATGCGCTCATCTACAAATCAAGTAGCCAAGTCAGGAAGTGCCACTAGGCCTAAAGGCAATTCTGCTGAGGGAAAACCAGCTGGTGTCAGTCATAAATCCACACCAATGGCATCAACCAGAGGCAAAGGAGGCCAAGCACCAGGCACAAAAGTCCCAGATTCAAGACCAGGAACAAAAGAACCCAGTATCCAAACCGCTCGGAGCAGAGGTCTGCGTCTCGGAGACGATGACCGCACCCTCCCCGACTGCGGTTTTGGAATCCGCAATCCCAAGACCCCTGTGGTCGAGGAGAAGATCACCCCTTCGAAAGGCCACGTCCTGGGGACATCTCGTCCGACGGCCGACAGAAAGTTCGTGAGCGACCTGAAGCACCTGAGCACCCTTCTGGACGAACGAGAACAGTCCCACCCCCGTCCGAGTTCGGTCCCGAGGCCTCCCCTAGCTGGAGATGATCCCGGGGCAATACCCGACTTGGGATTTGGGCTCAGGAAGACGTTTGCTGATCACAAGTGAGAATTTCATCCTGGTAATAGTCATGGCAGGTTTAGATTGAATGATACAATTTAAATTTCTTCTTAGGGAATAATAGCAGAGGCTTACATGGTAGTGCAGATGCTGGAAGAAAGCAGATAAGTTAGGAATTCAATAATATAGGTGGTGTTAGGTAGAAATGCTTGTCTAGCCTTTGATGCCTCATACAATAGAAAGAGTGCATCATTCTCCATAATAGGTATTATGCATTTTAATGTATATGTGAACAATATTGAGACAGTGTCACCATAATCGTTCCATAATGAGTGGCTGTTTTAAAGATATTTGTAACATAGATGTTTTAAAGGTATTTCCTTGAATGTTAATCATGTATAACATGGTTGTTATATACTGTTGCGTATTACAGGCCTGGATCATCAAAGCCATCAGTACTGGAGAAGATCGAGAAGCCCACATCGTATCCAGGACGTGTTGGGGAACGGGACGAAAGTGTCCCCGATTTGGGGTTTGGTCTCAGGGAAGTTGGCCAAGATCCGACTTCTCAGAATGTAGACCTGGAGCTCCTAAGGTATGGTAATATAATGATTTTAGTAATATTTTGTAAAGATCTGGAAATCTTGAAGTTCTCAAGAGACCCTGTCACACATTACATTTATATGTATTTATTGATAGTTTTTCATTACTTATTCTCATTTTCTTGAGCAGTATGCAACCAGGTGTGCATGGTTGCTGTTAGGCCTAGCCCTAGGCGAATATTATGACCTTATTTTCTATTGAATATGCCATTCACCCATTGCTTTGCTAAGTCTGTGGTGGCATATCATTCATTTTAATCTGAATACATGTTGCTCAACCATTGTTGTGTTATGATACCAATAGAATTGCACTTCTTGATTCCCAAATTTTTCCAGGCCTATTTAGTTAGAAAACACAACTGTTACTTCTTTTATCTTTACAGGTGCATGCAGGAGGTGCATGAGCACCTCAAGACCCTCACAATTGATGTATTGAGTGATGATTCTGTGGATTCTGGCTCCTGGAATGGGTGAGTTAACTGATTCATTGACATCAGAAGGTTAGAGAGTTGCAGATGTTGACTCCTGTCACCTTTCCATGCTTGAAGTTGTGTGATTGAATATTTTGAAACTGATAATGGTTCTCCAAGGCAATGACATCCTTCATCTGGTCTCTTGCTATTGTCTTGAATATCTTTTCTTTCAAACTCACTTCAAATATATCATGGTGATATATAGTAAGTTTCCAAGTCTAGGTACGATGAAGGTGGAACTGCAGCTATTGATTTGAAGTGGCATACACTTGCATGGTATTATAAGATGCCGGTTCGGATTCTATCATTAGGATTGACAGATGCCTGAATGCTGAGACATTGGAGGCCTTGAGCGATGTCCAACCATCAGAGGATTTTGAGAACAAAATGGAAGTGGTGAAACTTGGACGGGTCCTTGAAACAGAGCTCCAGAAACGAAAGGTGCCACTGGTAGCATTTCAGGTTGCATAGAAACTTATTGCATGACTGTTCTTTCTTCTCTTTTGTCCTTTTTGTCAGCTTCTGTTTTCTTTTGTTTTTTTTGCACCTCTTTCTTCCTGAATCCTGGTTGACATAACATCCATCCTTCATTGATTGCATGGGGAAATCAAAGGACCAAGTGAACCAGCATCATTTTTGTGCGGTGTACATATATTTTCAGGAAATCTTTCTTTATGGGCTGGAACGCTAAAACTAATTAAAGAACATCTCCCTTTTTTCCCCAGTTATTTTTCAAAAATAATTTGTTTTCATAGCATGACTCAACTCCAACAGTCACCAGTCCAGAATTTTTTCACACAAAAGTCTTGTACTAAATTTCATAGTTCACTCTTATTGATACATGTATTAATTCAACTTTTCTTCCAAAAATTTTTTAGCATTTCCAGTCAGAGGTGGGGCGATTGGCAGCTGAGCTGAGCCGAATGGAGAGTGAGCTGACCCAGAGCCAGTCAGTGATTGATCGTCAGCGTTCCCTCATGCAGAAGGCTGTCCGTTCCATCTCCCAGGCTGGGAAGGCACTGAAGGCACTGGACCGGGATGAGAGAGCTGCTCGTAATGCCATCGATGACCTTCGTCATGTGCGTCCATTCAAGTATCCCTGTTGCACAGATTTTTACATTTTACCCTAAAATTTATTTTTAGGGAAAACTATTGAGAAACTGGAAAAAAGGAAAATTACCAAAATCCATGACTTAAATAAGAGATTATATTGTGAATAACCAGAATTCCAGTTATGTGGTTGTGTGTGACTCATGCATTTCATATTATAATGAAAAGATTGCTCTGGACTGCTTGTAGTGGTTAGGGACTTAGGGGAGCGGCACCAGTTTGTGAACAGGGAGCCAGTTAGCGAACGAGGGTCATGAAATGCGATTTGGCCTTTTGTTACTGTTGGATTGTTCATTATTGCATGAGACCTGTGGTTGTCAAGTGTGTGAAATTAATAGCTTTTGTATTTTGTAATTATTTTCTAATTTACTTTCTAAATTTAATTTTAGATGGGTTTCTCATGGGCCAATATGAGGACCATTTTTCTCATCAATATGGACAATGTTCTCCTTTTCATTGATACTATGAAACCCATGTAATATTAGCAAAAAGTATTTTTTTAAATTTATCATCACTACTAGCTGCCTTAAAATGCATCAGCCTGTATATTTGTATTATATTCTATATTCCATCGTCAATACCAGTGTCTTCATCCTGAAATGGAGGTTTGAAACTTTTTACATATTTTTGCATGATTAATTTTCACTATTTTTACATTTCATTGCAAGAATTCACTGCAACTGTTGAAGTCTCAGATGGTGAGATATTTTGTTTGCAACTTAGGAATTCCTAAATAATTTATTGTTTCAGTTTTGTAGGGTTTCTTCATAAATTTTCCATATCTATGTGTGTAGAGGATAGAAGACCTGGAGGATGAAAAACAGGGGCTCCAAGCAGCCTTGCAAGAAATGCATCTCTCCTTGGACAAGGCCATGAAGTCCAAAGAGGAAGATGCCTCTGCCATGCAACGCAACATGGCAGGCCTGCAGGCAGAGGCAACACACCATGGTGAGGCGGCCCGCAGTGCTGAGGCCACAGTGGAGAAGCTGCGCCAACAGTTACACGATGCCGATGGGAAGCTCCAAGCGGCCATCGACCAGGCTGGTCGCAGTGAGGCTCGTGCTACAAAGCTCCAGCGGGACAAGGTGCGCTAATGCATTCTTTTTTATGCTTATTTGAATCACTGAAATATTCCCTGTCCTCCAAAATGCATCACTTATTTGCCTAAGTGTACATTTAATGTAATTCTCATTCATACTCAATTTTAAAATCCTCACCAATAGTGCATGACATGAATCACAACTTCTTGTGTCAGTCCTTTTTGAAAAGTTAGTCCTGTCTATGTATTCATGTTTTTATTCAGTCTATGAGAAATTCATTTTAGATTCATATTTCTAGCATCTGCTTCTTTTTGTGAAAGTAACTGATTCAAAAGAGATGGTCAAATGCAGCTATTAGAGATTTCATTTAAATTTGAATTACCTGGCTGGAATATGAAAAGCCTGGATTAAATCATGAATCTCGTGATGGAGTAATTTTGAGGCCTAATTGCACAATCTAACCAAATCCTTAAAAAAAAAAATCAAACCAATTGAAATAGAGTGAAAGCCTGTGATATTATGAATCAAATTAGATCCAAACTTTTTAAATGTTTAAGGTGAAGTCAACTCCAAGAGTCACAAAGCCAACTCCCTCCTAATGATAGAGATCTCAAGTCAAATTAAGGTTTCCTCATATTCAACTTGGAATCAATCAATCTCTTTCCTTGTTGATGAATCTTGAATTGAGTTCCAGATTGAATCTGAAAATTTTGCACAATTCTGTCTTGATTTGGATTAGGTATTTTTGCCATTTATACATTTGCATCCATTGAAAGTAATGAACAGTAAGCAGCTAGAAAAGCAATCATTCTGAAAAAGGGTGAGTCATTTTCACAAAAATGTTTGCTTGCCCCAGCCTTCCTTATGCTTTAGTTACATTAGAACTGAGGGTTATGCATGTATTCTACTGTTTCATGAATGGGAAAGAAGATTTCATGGTATAGGAAGCCCTAGTGGGTCAACTATCCCTGAATGCAATGTTTGATTGTGTCAGTCATGCCCACGTTCCCTGATTGATGAAAGTTTTGGCTTTGAGCAGCTCATCAAGTTTAAATAGCCAAAGAACTTTGCCCAATGTGCATTCTTTCTGTATGTGGTTGCACCTTTATTGGAATGATTGCAGCTGCATGTTTTAGCATCTTTCTCCCATGCGATGTTTTTGGTATGACAGTGCTTGTTGCATGTGTTTGTATTTTGCATATTCTCAGCAATTGAGAAGCATGGAGTCTGCATGCATTGCAGTTCCCCCCCCCCCCCATTTTAACTGTGATTTTTTGATGAATAAGCTTTCTTTTACTCTTGTGCCAAATGCATTCCTTGCAGTATTGCCAGTGATCTTGTTTTTGCCACATTTTTTCTTTTGGTGTGTTCTTGCACATTTCTCTTTCAAGGATGAGCACATTGTGACAATCCTTGCATGCTGAAGAATGGATATGCATCCATTGCCATTATTGCATTCCTAGCTTTATTCCATTTTTCTATTTGTCTCTGTTGGCTTATTTCGTGCATCTTATGTTTCTTTTCTTTCCAGAATTTTTTCCCTATGTTTTGCATTGAAATTTCATTTGCTTACTTCTCCCCAGTGAGCATTTTTTGCATCTTCTATGCACCTTATAACAAAACTAGTCAATGATGGTGGTTTACTTCTCTAATAAAGCTGATGGGGACAAAAGCCCCTTGTTTCATTTGGCATAGGGGACTTCAATCAGCTGATTTTGATGGTTATGAATTGGACTGCAAGGAAGTCACAGTTATTTACTGTAAAATTGATGTAGTTTTGGGGGTCAGGATTCTTCTGCATGCTGTTTAATTTTAAGGGCATTACCAGTCTTATTTCCTCCAGGATGGAAGCTGTTTTTGGAAATGATTGAGAAAGCTTATATCTACCTTCTTCAGCAGATTCAGTCAAGTTCATTGTTAGCTGAAAACATCCATAATATGCCTTGTTCTTTGGGAATCACAAAGTGAGAATGGTCTTTGGGTAGGAAACATTGGTGTAAGTCTCAAGTCCAAGTTCCACAAAAGACAAAAATTTCAACATTAGTGGAATTGCTCTGGTATCTGAAAAAATAAGTTGAATTGCTCTGTTTTTAGGTAATTTTTGTTGGTGCGATACTGGAGAGTATCATGTTTTCAATAACTCTTGTCGCATATCTGGATGCAAATAAGTACGATTCTCAATAATGAAACAAACTGTCATTTAGATATCATCATGTTAGTCTCTAACCACATGATATAAACATATGGTTTCCCTTGAAACTTTTCATGCTGAAACTTGGGTAATGTTCTGGAAGAGCCATGCATATCTAGAGGGAAGGTGTTCCATAAGTTTGTCTGACATTTCAAAATTTAGAAAACTAGCAAACTGCTTGAATTTCCATGACATGCTGCAGTGAGGCATGTCTAATAAACCTGAAGATGTTGATGCCTCTTTCCAGTGAAAAAATGCAATGAACATTGTGCATTGGGCATTGCAAGTGGGTATGTCAAGATTATGGTTGTGAATGACACTGAATGCGTAAAAACTCATTTCCCATTTGCAATTGGTTCAGTTTGACTCCAGGATCAAATGGTCCACCAGGGCTGCTTCATATGTGAAGACCTTGCACTGTTCAAAAATGGTTTTCCATGAGTTTGCAATAAGGGATAATTTTGAGAACTTCAGAACAGAGTAATTAAGATCTATAGGACCCAACAGCCCAACTTGCACTGTTCTTGACCAGTGAAGTTTGGACACCCATTTGGGCTATCTGCCCTGTAGGAATCCATGTGGCCAATGGACAATTCCATGAGGATGGAGTTAACCAACTGGTTAAGGGGTTTCACCCCATGACATAAAACCATTACCAGGTGGCATTGGAGGAGGCATTGGTGGCCTGGGAAGGAAAGTGGCGAGAGAGAGAGGCAGAGTGGGAGAGGGAGCGGAGGCGGACCGAGCAACACTACGAGGACCGGGTGGAGGCCATCCTCCAGCGCAAGCTCCAAGAGGCTACAGCAGAGGTGCTTCGTTTCCAGGATCGCTTTCGTACTGGCTACGAGCAACGCCTCACCCAGGAAAAGGCCCAGTGGGATGCCCGATACCAGATGCTGACTCACAAGTTAGAACTCCTGTGGTTAACCCTTATTATCCCAATGACTTAAAATAGCAATTATTTCTTTGAAATCACCCATATTATGAGGAGACATGTGTAAATTTGTCATTTGTGACCTCAGGGTAATATACTGCCCTGTGAGTGTCCATGAAAAAAAAAAAGTGCATGAAAAAAAATGAAGAGAAATGATCAATGTGTTTCCCCATTTAAAAAAAAGTTTATAAAAATATAATTTTTCCCTTTCAAAAAAATTATTTCAGTCTATATCGGGTTAAATTTTTTTTTCATAACTGGATTTGCTGAATAAGCCAAAGGTACATTTTTTCAGAGTTTAGCAAACTACAAGTATATCTGCATTCTCAGTTTCATACCAAGTCTATTTACCACTTTATTGCCTTCTTTCCAGGCTCACATGAATTTGTGTTCATCATTTCCACCTCTCTTTTCAGACACCAGAAAGAGGTGGAGAGTTTGACACATCAACTGGCAGAGAGTGAGACAAGGGAGGAGCAGTTGCGAGAGGAGGTGGGACGACTGAAAGAGGTTGCCGACAAGGTGTCATCTCTACAGAGCCTTGCAACCTCCTTCCGAGAGCAGTGGGAGGCCGTCGTCCGGTCCCCACAGCTCCCCGAAAATGATAACAGTGATGCATCTCGGTGCTCCACTGTACGTTCCTTTCTCTGAGTTTCACTCATTAGGTTTTCCTGACTCTCCATTCATGCACAGAGAGACTGCACTCTTCATTGATTTTCTCAAAATGCAGAAGAGCCTGGCCGAAGGAGGCACTGAATCTGGGTCCAAGTGCTGCCAACACAGTCAGTCCTGCATGGGCTCCACGACGGCAACATCGACTGCTAGACCCTCTGTCTCCACACATTCCCTCACATCCAGTCCCCTTCATGAATTGAGGTCTGAAGGCTTACACATCCCTTCGTAAAAGTCTTGGTATTTAATTTTTATTGCTAGTATGTCAAATAAAATGCTTTAAGGAGGTACTTGTGCCATAAAATGTTCAAGTGTGACTTTAGCAGAGTGAAAAAGGGTCTTGAACATTCTGAAGCATACCACCTAATGCACATTCTTACAAAATTCAAAATGAATTTAAATGAATTATCAGTAGGTCATTTTGGAGTCTACTGACCTCTGTAGTCCCTGTTATTATTCTCAAAATCTACTCCAAATGATTCTCTATTTTTGCCTCTAATCTGGTTTGAGGAACTTCATTGATAAATTTGCATGATGTTTTTCATATAGTTCCTTTCAATATTTTCCTTGAAATTCAGCTGCACACAACCATTCTGTCTTCATTGCAGTGTGACAGACTCGAGCTTTGTTCATGCGCTACAGTCAGCTACAGGAGCAAAAGGGGGTGACTTGTCATGGGTGACTGGAGCAAAGGGAAGTGACCTGTCATGGGTGACAGGAGCAAAGGGAAGCAACCTGTCATGGCTAACAGGAATGAAAGAGGGCAACTCATCATTTCTTAATCTCCATTCTGAGAGCGTCTCTAACACTCGGGTAACCCACTTGTAATGGCTTACACCTGTTTCACTTATCCATTTGTCTTTTTTTTTTAATAATAGAACAAATTCACCAAAATGGAAATTATTGCTATACGTATGATTCTAATCTATTTTCGGATTTTATTCTCCTCCAGTTGTCAAATGTGCTTCCAGATAGAAATCAAGCAGGATTCCACAACTCCAAGCAGAATTCACCTTGAAATTCCTGGCGATAATGGTACAAAGAGAGAACGATCTCATAGCCTCAGGTGTCTTTATCCCATGGTATTCTAGTCATGTTTTTGCCTTTTTTTATATTTAAATCTGATGAATGAACTTTTTGATTTTCCAAGGGGTATGAATTCATTGAGGCAACAGGAATAAACTGTTAGTGGAAAACCAATTACCTTAATTGCAAATGGAATGCAGTAATTTTACTGTGATAATTAAACAGCTTGAGGTTAGGTTACTCTGCCATCTGCAAATTCCTGGCATTCTAATAATCAATTATGTTTGTTGCTAAATGCAGGAACAACTGAATTTACAGATGAGCCAGCTACAATTTCTATGCACCTTTGACCACATTTCATATTCTGAAGCAATATGTTTTGAACTGTTGTAATTTGAACTTTCCATGATGCTGGACACATTATTTACAATTATAGCAAAAGAATGCCATATATGAAAATTAATCTTCCTCTCCCTTATAAAAGTATAGCTTAATATTAAAACTCCTTTATAAACAAAACAAAATGGCTCCATTTTGCTCTCGAAATGGTTATTATTCACGATAGTCACCACAAACGGGTCAATCACATCTCGCATTGCATCGCGAGAATGTCGCGATGCACTGCCGGCAAACTATTGGGTATTTTCATTGAGTCGCACTTCCGTGCATGCGTTTCGTGGATGGCAATGGGGGTGGAGAGGGAAGGTTTCACCTCGTTACTGCATGGATCCACTAGACATATACACCCTGGGATAAATTTACATTGGAATGATAGTCACAATGCTGCAAACCGTGGAATCTAGACATGATTGCCATGCTTATTACAAAGCTTATATACAAAGCCGCTCCTGTAAGGGCAGTCTTGAAATGAACATGCTTCATTTCAAGCTGTTCCCTCAGTAGTGTGGCTGTATCATTATATTGGCATATATTTTACATGCCTTTATAATTATTATGTTAATGATATAATGCTCCTATTTATATTTTATGACAAGATTTCATGAACCAATATACAAATGTAGTTTTGCATGGAGCACAATGTTATTTACAAAGTCTACAAATACTTTTGTACTTGGATGCCAAAATTTAGCAACTTTGCCAAGCATTGCATACCAGGTAGTTGCATGCAGAAAAAAGTTTCTTTTTTCCACTGGAAAATCTCCAGCAAACAGATGGAAGTGAAGTATAAAAATTGCTCAAATAAAAAAGGGGTTCTTCAACGAAAAGAAAGGACAAAAAAATGGAGGGAAACTTGAAAAAAATCGTTGAAAAGGTTTTCTTAGTGGGAGAGGAGATTGGAACATTTCCGAGATCTGTAGATCTTGAAGGATGAATCTGGCCGAGTTTCAGGTGGATTTTGGGGAAACTGGGTGAATGGTGAAGAATTCATATTGGCAGGATTCAGGGTCTAGTCGTAGACAGCGAATGGATAGATGGACAATGCGATTGGGTTTAGGGTGGATGGGATTTAGGGCGGATGCATTGGTGGACGTATCCCTTAGGCAGGAGTAGGCGGAGTGGATTCTGAGGAGGCGGATGTATTGGTCGACATCTCCGTGTTGACGCTGGCCCCGTCCGACCCCTTGCCGTCCGTGTCGCAGAAGAGGCACGGGCACTTCTTCCTCAACGCTGCGCGGTACCTCGGGTGGCTGCAACAAAAGGTTTCAATTCCGTTTTTTTTTTTATCAATTCCAGAGGGGAAGAAAAGTCATTTCGAATGAGAATTAGGTCGAATCGGGTCATTCAAGGCCAGTGAGGCGGTCATGTCGACATTCAACTCGTTTTCTTTCATTCTGACTTTTTTTTTCATTTCTTTGAGGCTCTTTTTTTTTTAAGTACTCTAAGCAAATATATATAGCTCCTTATCAAAAAGGATTGTACTCAATTCTCGCTTTGCTGATTGTAAGGTGGATGACCCCAGGATCTTTATCGATTCACCTGTGACCTAGTCGTCACTGGCTTTGCTTCAATTCCGATCGAATGTTTCAACGATTCAGATTGAAAATCGAGTCGATCCGTGGTTGCACACATCAGTTCTGTGACTCCAAAGAGGTTCCAAGTTCTCGCATCAAACACTGAATTGATGGAATGAGCTCAATATGAAGCATGTATGTAAAACGCATGCATGCCTGATTTCTAATTTCTAATAGCTGTTGCAATGTAATTAAATGCCACGTTTAAAAATCGATGACCGCAAATCGGTCACATCAGTTCAGACTTCCCAGGAATTAATGGGGCGTAACGCAACGTCACGCAACGAGGTCACACCTGATGCCATAGACGATCGGGTTGTACGCCCCGGACGTCTTCGCGAAGAGCGAGCCCCAGATCGTGTAGAGCGGCGTGATCCTCGCCTTGTTGAAAATCCCGGTGTAATTGATGACCAGGTAGGGCGTCCAGGCGGCGAACCACAGCGTGATCGTCATCAGGGCGATCTGGATGTTCAAGGTTACGTATAAAGGCTAATTTCATTTCGACTTTATCTCAAATTTCATTTCGACTTCATCTCAAATTTCATTGATTTTTGGTTTTTCGTTGGTTAATTCCATTTGCTCAATGGCTTTTTTTGTGTGTCGGTGACAAGCAACTGTCTTAGCTTAAGGTATTAATATTTAGCTCTCGGATTATCTAAAGTAGCCAATCGTTAGCTTAATCGGTTAATTAAGGTGGACCTTGGCGAGTCGGATCTCGGCGTGGGCGTCCTTGCCGTCGCTGCGGAGGCTCTCCACGTTCATCCGCTTCGCCTGATCCCGCATCTGCTCCTCGTGGTCCGCCACCGTCTGTCGATCGAATGCGATCATTGGGGAGACTCTAAAGGAAACGGTTCATCTGGGAGAAGAGCCGGGATGGTTACGCGGGTGTTGAGACGATTGATAGGTAGGGTGAGAATTAGAATAATACTGTGACGATATCTTTAATGTATTATTCATATGAAAAATTCTCCTTTACACCAATTCCATTGACGTGTGCTTACGATAATTGCTTACTCTCACTGCTTAAATTATCATCTGCCCTTGTTTTATGTTTATCGTCTCTCCGCACGACCGCCGAGAAAGCTCCCTTTTCGATCCAGGCAGACGACTCTCCCCCCTCGACCAGCGACCCGATCGGTCGACCGAGGGAGCGTCGTCCCCTCGACCGGCGACCCGATCGGCTCCGACACGAAAAATCCTCCTCACGCGGACGATGTGGAAGTAGCTGTAGAGAATGATGAGGAGCGGCGTGAAGAAGACGAAGCTGCTGTAGACGAGGATGTAGGACTTGTCCTTCCAGTCGTCGCTCAGGCAGTCGATGGAGCAGGACGTCATGTTCCCCTCCGGGACGTATCTGTGCGGTTTTAATTATTAACGAAATTACTCGTGTGGGTCAAATTTGCGGACGTCACGTCTTTGACACCTCGAGGCGATTTTTTTTTTCTCGGGGAGGAGACGTTCGGAGACAGATTAAAAATGAAATATTAAATGTTGATTTTCTTTGCTTCGTTTAAGCAAAATTGAACAATGTTGCTGATGGATGCATCTCGTGAATGAATTTCGGCAGCCGTGAAAAGCTTAACGATGAAATTCGGCAGAACAGATCCTGAAATCTTGCTTCCGTGACTCTATTTAAAGTTCGCTCTGGTCGAGCAGAAGCAAGCGGTTAACTTAGTTCCTTTTTGCCAAGGATTGTTATTCCAACGGCCGGCGACGCGTTCGCCTGCCTCTCAATCTCTTCTTGCTCGCGACTCTATGTAGAGCGAAATCCATTCCCCGAAACACTGGAACAAGTCACTCCATCATTCTCCCATCATTCGTTCCGTCATTCCGACATACCGGTTCCAGCCGAAGAGGGGTAGGAGGGTCCAGACGATGGCGACGGTCCAGATGGTGGTGACCATGGCGATGGCCCTCTTGTAGGTCAAGGGCTTGGCGGCCATGCCCTTCACGATCACCCGGTAGCGGTCGTAGGCGATCATGGCCATCGTCCAGATGGAGCCGTTCCCGAACAGGGAGCCGGTGATCCCGTAGAGGTCGCATCCCAGGGGGCCTACCTCGCGGTCGGCGCGATCGTTACCGAGATAATTACCGAGGGAAATATCACGACCGTGGTAGTCATGAAGAATTAGTTGATAGAACTTAGATCGAACGTGAAACGGAATGGAGCTGGAAAAGGCTTCATTTTTTCATCATTCGTGAGGAATTTCTCATGCGCTGGGCGATGATGCGATTTCCACGTTACAGCTCGTACCAGTAGCGATAGGAAATTAATGGTAGGACTTTTTAAAACTATATTTTACCACATTTTATCAGATACCAGGAGCAACAGCGCATTCGCTTGACTTCCAACCACTCTTTCAATATTTATTTTATCCTAATCCTGTTACATTTTATTACTTCATTATTTGTATTTATTTTTATGTATTTATTTAATCATGGAGTTTTTTGCATGCAATTAATTGGCAATGCCAAAACACACCCATGATCCAGGTATGATAGTAGCAGTTGATGACCATGACCGGGTACTGCGTGATCACCATGCACAGGTCCGAGAAGGCCAGGTTCACGACCAGCACGTTGGACGGCGTCTTCAGCGCCCGGGTGGTCGTGAACACGTGGAGCACCGTCAGGTTCCCGATCAAGGCCAGAACGCCCAGGATCCCGATCGTGAAGCCCAGGATCCCGTGCCAGAGCGGGTTCAGAGGCGGGAACTGGTACCTGCGCGAAAAATTTTACGTATTACAATGAAGCACTATTTTTAAATTATCAAATTACAAGACATTATGTTGATAAGTCACATTAAATTACAAGGCTTAATGTCGATGAGTCGATATATTACAATGCATCATGGTGATAATTCAAAATAAATGGTAATACATATCATGTGCATAAAATCAGTCGTAATAAGTCGATAAGTCGAACCTACCAGTGGTCGTTGACGAGATGGAGCATGTCGAGCGGCACGACATCCACGACGGTGGAGTTACCGAACTTCCCCATGGGGGCGGGGGGGAAGTTCGTGGTGAACCATGCCCCTACGCCGCGTTGGAGGTCAGGTCGGTATCCGTACGATCCCATCATCCCCTATGCGGATGACCTATGGTGGACGGCAGCGTCGCTTTTTGTGGTGAGCGGGGCTCTCCCTTCCCGTGGATCCCTGTGGCCTCGGCCTAGGAGCTCCGAGGTCTTGCTGTGATGGGAAGAACACGATGGATGGAAGGGAGACCATGGACAATCAAACAGGTCAAGTACGTTCAACATATTCAATTCGTAGAAGCTCGCTTTCACTTCCAACGGAAGGGTTTAAACGAATTCGGGTTTAAAAGGCTCCTCTGCATGAAGTCAGCATTGTTTGAAGGGGGTAAGAAACCCTTCTCACATCTCCGGATTTATTACTATTCGTAGTAATAGAGAGTGTCTTTAGAATGTATATTGAGATTATTATGCCTTATCTTCAAATGGCTTCAAATGACATTGCCTTGTAGGCCCGTGGCGCGATTTCTACAAGGCCACGCTACACTAGGCCGTAAGAACTCCAGTTAGCTTACAAGAAGCACATCCTGCATTTCACTGTCAGCTGGTGCACCCCTAGTCTGACTGAATTCGCTTTCTTTTAATTAGACCCTGCAGGTTTCCAAAATTGTAGTCCGACAGGAAAACAAATTTTCCACCGAAAATTGAGGTCTTGGGCCAGATATGTCCGATTTCTCGAATCAATTCCAAACTACTGCTTGCAAACATTCGCGCAGAACATTCGCAAGCACTGTCCCGCTGAGAACCAGCGACGCACGAGTCTTCCCCCCCAGACGTACCAGTGACTGAATCAGCTGATGTTACCTCGAGGCAAACCCCTACTAGCCCGCGCGGTTCACCCTCACGCCATCGGAGCGAATGGACGAGGCGAGAGACTCACGGAAGCGTCGTGGAGGACGAAGAGCGACTTGGCAACCCGTTTCGGGGGTCCCGCGCGTTTTAAACGCGCTCGAACGAAGCCCTACCGACTCATTAGGGAAATGTTTTCGTTTAACTGGATTTGCATTTATCATGATTAAGACGCAGGGGAAACGGTTGAAGGACGTCGAAGCGACGAAAAAATCCGTGCCTTCGATTCGTTCATGGAAACGTTTTTCTGCTGCCTTCTCGATGTCATGTCCTTGAAGGTCTCATCGTATGGATCCCAATATACGGGTCGGCCGTTTAAAAAAAAATTCTCGAAAAGGTTTCCGAGCGGAACGGATTCCGGGAAATCGCACACGACACCCAGCATTGGACCGAACGGAAGCTCCGAAGAGGGAGGAGTGCCCGGGGATCTTCGCAGGCGCACAGGGAATGCAATCGCAATTGCAAATTGCACGCCTCGGTCAATTGCAAAGGGTCTCCAGGGAACGATCGTGCACGGTATCCCTTGGATCCTCTAGGACGCCATTCACAAGGAACGTAAAGGGTACCTCTTATCACTTGCGTACCGCTCACGGCGATCTCCGTTTTTCAACCCTTTCACGAGTCCATTTCCTATGGCCGAAAAAGTGATAGCCTCGTAGGCGTCGAGCTTCAGGCTAAGGTAACTGAGGCTTAGGTCACAGCGGCGGATCGACAGGGTAAAACGTCCGGTACCCAATGTGGCTAAAGTGTAGCCGTGTTCTTATGGCCTTCGAGTCATCGAACTAGTGCGCGAAGGCAACCTCCCTTAGTCGTGAATTTTCCCCTCGAATTCATGGAAAACTGCTTTCCTGCAATCCGAATGTACTCCCCTGCTGGTGCCAATCGGCAATCGACATCTCGAGTCCTTTTCCGCGTATCTTTTTTTTTCCAGTCGAAATTTAGATTGGTTTGATCTGAAGACTTCCAAGGGACTGGTTTTATTCGCTGAAATAAAACATGCTTCTTCCATTCAGATTATTGGTTAGTTGTGCTGTGTTCCTAGGTGCTGAAGCTGTACTATTCGGTTGTCCCTACGTCATGGTTTCTAATCATCAAAAATCAAGTAGTTTATCTGTCTGTCTCTCTCTCTCTCTCTGGTGTTTTTAGATAGCAATATTGACAAGGATGGAAAATATTTGCTTACGCTGATGCGTAAACTCGACGGAAAGTGATGCTGGGTCTGTGAACAGTGAAAAAGCAGGCCGAGAGGAAAGCGAACGTGGGGAAGTATGCCGATGGCTATCTTTGCCTCTTGGCTTCTGTGGACCGGCTGTGGACTTTCGCACCGATAACAAGTTGTCGGTGCGAAAGTCTACAGTGCGTAGCGAAGGGTTGTCGACTTCATGCTTCGAAAATTGAGCCACGACTGAGATTCCAGAGGCAGGCATCACGCTGAGGTGCGATATGGCAAAAATGAGAGGTCCAGTGGATCTTCTTCAAGTGATTATCTTGACAGTGATAATAAATACTAGTTAGTAGCTCGTGCAAAAGCATGGAAGAATGAAAAGGCAATGAATGCAATCATTGCTAGCCTGGTGAGAAGACAGGGCACGTGAAAAACAGCCCTAATTTCTCGAAGGTCTGCCCCCTGCACTTCGTCAATCGTCATGGCAAAGAACGGGGAACAGACGCCGAGCGAAGACGAGGAAGACGACGAAGCCTACAACCGATCGTTCTAGGAAATGGTAGCCACGTAAAACGACGAAGGTTTCGTGTCTCAGTCGAACGCGAGTGTGGAATTCCACGCCAGATCTTTGAGCCCTCGACTTGGGCCACCCCCAGCATCAAGTCATCTCCGCATGAACGCCCCCCGGAGCAGCGCTCTTCGTGTCTGGCCGGGCTCGAGTCGTCCCGATCTCATTTTAGCATGCGTTGAGTAGACTCGAAACACTTCTCCCTCTTTTTCCGAGGGACCACAAGTGCTCAGACTCCTCGGGTCCATGAGGGGTTGAGGGAAGAAACCAGATGAAACAGCTTCATCAGATTACAGCGGTTGTAATCTCTTTACGAAACAATTATGTAAACTCTTTAGGGCGCTGTTCATATCGATTGCTGTTTCTTTAGAATTATTCATTGATTCGATCGGAGGCGAGGGGATTCCTTCAGTTTCGACCCAAATGGATGGATTCGGTGGGAGTGCTCGGGGCTCACCGAGCACGGTCGACTGTGTCAATTGTGCAACTGTGTCAATTGTGCAACTGTGTCAATTGTGCCATCGACGGTTCTTGTCCGATGCGTTCCGATGACTTGCAGGAACTGTTCGGTTTTTCCCAGGCGGTGGGCGTCGCCGTGGATGGAGATGGGGAATGAACTTGTTCAAGTGTGTTTTATTTGTATTATTATTTTGTATTATTATTTTAGAGGTGGGTCTCGGTATGATTAAATCAGGGTTTCGGAACGGGAACTTTTTCGTTCTGTTCCTAGCTATAGCCCAATGTGACTTGAGGCCGTTACCTTGTTGAACGGTTGAGTGGACGAAATTTCAGTCGCGTCTGTCCAAACCTGTTCATTCAGAGCTGCGGAGGATACCCCAAAGAAAAGCTTGCAAATGAGAGGTTTTCCCATAGAATTTTGTGGCATCTCGGCGTTTAAATCCGACTTACCTAAATAAATTGGTTGTTAAATCTCGACTCAGTGGCAACCATACAAAATAGATTTCCTAACGATTTGTAAGTATTTCTGTACACGAAAGGTTGACTGAAATGGCAAGAGTAGTGCAAAAGCAAAATGATCTCCCGCGTTAGGGACGCAAAAAACAGAAATGGGGTCGGAATAATAATTCTCGCATGGGAGTTTTGGTGTGTCACGGCTAGTATTGTAGTGTTTCGAGGTTGTATTGAGGATTTTCCATTTAATAACGGCCTCCCGCATGAAAAACTTCGGAAGAGGGCTACAGAGTCTGCTTCTCGAAAAAGAAGTAAAATTAAACTCAATATTGAACCCATTCCCGTCCAGGAATTTTCCGGCCTACCCGTCCAGGAATTGTGCTGCCATAGCCTAAAAGGGCGTAGGCTTGTGGGCCTCGCCCGTCTCGGTCAAAGGCTGGAAAGAAGAACATGGAACGATACGTATCAGTGCGCCTGTGGATGTGAATGAGTTAGTGCGGAGAGAACTAAATGGGAAACCCTTTATTATGTCTCCTTTTCGTTTCCCTCGCACTTGTTAGAATTAGACTGGATATCGGCCCATAAGCGTATCCATTACATGCAGTATAGGCTAGAGCTTAGCCCCGTGCATGTGAGTGTTTGGACCAAGGTATTATTTACATTGGTATTTTCCTCTAGGAAAGTTAAGTGCGATGGGTAGGGCTTCGACCTCGTTTATACTCACTCACTGCCGTTATGCCACGTTTGGTACTTTTCCAATAGCATGCTTAAGTCTCCTCACGAGGCAGGCACGGTACTGCCGCTGTCGAATGCGCAGGTTCGAGTGGCTCTCATTTTTCATAAGTGGGAAACCTTCCCAGTGAAGCCAAATTCATCTTCTGCTCTCTCTCAGAGCCTGGAACGTGGAACGATTTTCCCAGCACAAACCGGAATGGAACATGAGTGTGCATTTGTGGGAACTGTGAGATGGACTTTTAGCATCGAAGGCTTTTTCAGTACCACGCCCTAAATGAAAATCTTGCAGAGCTTTCTGCACCCGAAGGCTCATTTCGCTATCACTTCCTTTTAAACGATGGTCTTCTATCTGGCAAGAGAACTTTCTCGGCATTCAACGCCTGCTTCCCTCAACTTCATATCGAATTTGCACATTTTTATGTCAGTTCAGTAAAGGTGTCGCAGTTGATGGTTAGCCACGGAGCAAGGACCGGGGATTGTGTGTGGGTCTGATTATGTGTGGGTCTGGTTATGTGTGGGTCTGATCGCTCGAAAGGAACTCGATTCAAGATGGCTCTTTTCCTCGATGGTCCATTTCAATTCTGCCAACTTTCTTTCCCTAGCAATAATGTCCTGGCAAAATATCAGCAGCGATGTGGGGTGTCCCCCACGAGTGGCATCTTGTAGATGGGAGGCTTTCTTCCGAATCGAAGACTTACGGGCTTCGTGGTGTTTCTCTGCCGTTGGAGGAGTTGCAGTCGGAAATTCCAGTTGCGGCAGAAAAAAAATAGTTTGTGGATGTGACAGGGGGCCCCACATCCAGGTCGAGTGTCGACTGTTCGACCTGGAACGACCTCCAGTC